TACTGCAAGTATATGTAGTTCATTTGTAAAAATCTAAATTTTAACCCAGCCACTACCAGCAATTTTGTTCGGCATGCTCTTGCTTAAAATCACCCTTTAACTGAATGATCTAAAGCAGACACATTTTTATGCATCTCAGAAATTTATTCAAAGTTTTTAAATGTATTTGAAAATGTAAAGCAACTGAATACATAGAGCTAGAAATATATAATTTACAGGTTGTTTTAATGCCAGTACATGTAAATCTTCACACTGTAATCTAATGAAAGATAATGCTTGAAAAGTTCACTCTAGGAGTAAGATTTCAAATTTGAATCAAAGATTTTGTAAAGTAATCACATTCTACAAAGCGTGCATTGTACTGAATACTTGGGATTTTTTCCACAAATTTCAATACATTTTAAAATAAGGGAAGTCAAATATTTAAACATTATACAATTATAAATAAAACTACTTTTGACTGAAATTTTGTGAAAAAAATCAAGAACGGAATCACGCAACAAGCAGCAGTGATTTTGATAGCATACATTGACTTCCATATTTCTACAAAACATTTTCTCTGATCAGATAAATATATTATTCCTGCTTCTGACATGATATATTCTGAGAAAATCTCTTTTCCACAGACAGCCATCATTCATTTGATGTGAGAATTTCTTGCTGAACATGTGTCCACCTGGTGAAAAAAGTTCTTTTGTTGACCTTAAATTTAAAAAATAAGTAATATATTTTACATAGCACCACAGATGCTGCACTACATGATAGTTAGATAAAGTTGTTCCATATTTCTTATACATGTACCTCAATAGTCCATCAGCCAGCATCCCTTGCTCAATGATCCTGCATTCTGACCTGAGTGACCTCCAATCTTTTTTTCTAGTCTAGTGTAAAGTAGGGTTGTTTTTCTCTTAAGAATTAAACATGAACATCCTTTAGACTATTTTTTTTAAAGTAATGGAAATTGATTATAAGAATAAACAACTAATCTCATCTGTATTTCATTTATTGATTTCATATGATTTTTGATGAATGAAGATATTTTAATAGATTCTACCACATGTATAACATCTTATATTATAGTGTATTAGACATAAATAAATAAACATTTTTTTTATCCTAAATATACAGAAAAGGAAAAAAAACAATAATATAAATAGTTTTTGAACAATTATTTTTCATTTTGCTCTATTTATTAGACAATTGTATGTTTCAATATTATTGATATTTCTACATACAATATCAAGTTATTTTTCCGTTTGATTTGTACCCAAGCGGAACACCTTACTTTTCTAATAACTTGATGATCGTTGCGTCTTAAACACATTAGGCTAGTTAGAAATAAAATTTGTTGTAATCTTATACAGAAATGCTATTATGCCCCGCCATGAATATGGCCGGGGCATATAGTGTTTGTCATGTCCGTCTTCCGTCCTTCCGTCTGTCCTTCCGTCACAATTTGCGTTTAGCTCTGTTCAAAGCTCAGTTTCAAAGAAACTATCCAAGATATTTTTATCAAACTTCATATGCTAATAGATATTGATAAGAGCTATGCAACTGCATCAACATTTTTTGACCTTGACCTTTCTTTTGACCTTGACCTCACTTTTCTTAAATTAGTGTTTAGCTCAGTTTTAAAGATACCATTCAAGATAGTGTAATCAAACTTCATATGTTGATACATACTGATGTAAGCTATTCAACTGCATCAAAATTTTTTGACCTTGACCTTTCTTTTGACCTTGACCTCACTTTTCTTAAATTAGTGTTTAGCTCAGTTTTAAAGAAACCATTCAAGATATTTTAACAAACTTAATATGCTGATACATACTGATGAGATCTATTCAACTGCATCAATATTTTTACCTTGACCTTTCCTTTGACCTTGACCTCACTTTTCTTAAATAAGTTTTAGCTCAGTTTTAAAGATACTATTCAAGATAGTGTTATCAAACTTCTTATGCTGATACATACTGATGAGAGCTATTCAACTGCATCAATATTTTTAGATCTTGACCTTTCCTTTGGCCTTGACTTCACCTTTCTTAAATTAGTGTTTAGCTCAGTTTTGAAGAAACCATTGATAATATTTTTGTTAAACTTCATATGAATGCCCCGGGCATAAATAACTACGATTAAAATTGTCATAACTGTCCCTGTGCTTCTGCAATGCTTCGATAATATTCACAGTTTGTAGATTTTACAAAACAACCCTCAGAGGGTTTTCTACGGGAAATGATCTGGACATGTTGACATGTTGACATTCGCTACCGAACTGCAAATGTTATGGCGATTGTCGCAAATCAAAGAAAAATTAACAAAAAATTTATTTATTTAAATAGAAATAGATTCAACATTACTTAAACTAATAAATTAACTAACAGTTTTTCCTTCAGTGCAATTAAATATATGAATTTTGCATTTTACGCCTTGCATAATCTATGGAGACCCACTGACGACGTAAAATGCTGACAAGAATCCATCCTTAAGTAAATTAATTTCTGACAAAGATTTTCTATATGCATATAATGCCAATAATAAAAAATATATGTGTGTTTCCGGTTTCATGCCAAAAATAGGGTAGGTAGGCGATACCTTTCTCTACTTACCCTTTGTTTGAGCATCAGTTTAATCCTTCAGTATCCCTTTTTTGTTATATATATACGAGGATTGTCCCAGAAATACGCGAACATTTTCACTATGTTTTGTTTCAGTAATACTGAATAATACTAACACTAACTAATACTAGAGCTTAAAATTGGCATACGTCATAATTAACATTTTTTGAAAAATGGTTAAAATTTTAATGAAATATCCCTATAAATAACATTTCCATCTCAGGTAAACGAATCTTAATCAGTTGTAGGCGCAACACTGACGACGTCAAAACGTAGCTCGTGGCGTTTGAGAATTTGTTCTGGAAATGTGCTTCTGATAAAATTCGTTTAAGGTAGTATGGGATACCTCCACGTTATGACGTATTTCCGTTTGAAGTATTGTTTTGATTTGCATGAATGCTTATTATCAGGTCAAAATTTGTAGAAACATCGTTTAAAAGAATACGCTGAAGCAAGTTCTCACAAGTCGGCATTTTAAGTAAAAATAGAGAAAAAAAATCGCAAGTATATAAATTTACTTACAATTTTGATACGGACATTTAAAAAGCAAACCCCTGTAAAAGATAGTATAAACATTGCTGCTTATGAACACTTTTAAGCTAAAACTGTATTTCAGTTGTTTGAGTAACTGTACAGCACCTTGTGCGCGGTGAGGCATGGATAAGTGCGATTACTTCACATTGTGCAGAATTATGACCAATCAATTATCACGTTAACCAGAGCTGGTCTTCTTTGTTATTTAATCCAAGAAGTTACTGTTTGGTCACAAATCAGCTAGCTATTGTATATAGTCTCAAAACTTTTAGATGAATGCAATTGCTCTGAACAAGACACGTCCTGGAAAGCGATTGTACATGCATTTTTTTTTTTCAAAACAGTTTAATGTTAAAAACTACCACTGCAACAACGTGCGATTTTTTATGTTTGGAAAAAAATGCTCATCATTTCTGAAATAGCACCCAGGTTTTTCAACCCCTGGAAAATAGAGAAGAACAAGAGGCCCATGGGCCACAACGCTCATCTGAGTAACTTTGGTTTTACTGTGTTTCATCTGATTATCCCCTTTGTAGTACCTATTGTGGCCCCGCCTTACCCCCAGGGGTCATGATTTGAATAATTTAGAAACTACACTACCCAAGGATTGTTCCTATATATTTCAATGTAAAACTTGAATTCCCTATTGTAGCCCGGCCCTACCCTCCGGGGTCATGATTTAAACAATATAGAATCTTTACTACCCCTGGATGCTTCCACATAAGTTTCAGCTTTTCTGGCCTAGTGGTTCTTGAGAAGAAGATTTTTAAAGATTGTTCCTATATATTTCAATGTAAAACTTGGATTTCCTATTGTGGTCCCGCCCTACCCCCGGGGGTCATGATTTGAACAATTTAGAATGTACACTATAGCTCAACACAGTACTACTTAATAATTTGGTGCTCCTCATTATCACCAAACGTCACCAATTTAATTAGAAGTGTTTGGCATATAACATCATATATTTGTCAATAACGATGTCAAATAAATGAATTTTTATACACGAGTGCACAAGATCAAACAGTATTTTTATGGAGGTAAATTTTGTGACATTATATTTCCGTACAGCCTGGTAATAAAGAAAACTTCATTGACAATGCTTCTTTTAAAAGTCAAAAAGATTACCGTGCGCCGACCAACGATATTTAGCACCCTTTAAATGCTGTTTTTATATAATTATGACATCACAAGCATAAAATATTTTGTCAAAATACCAAAAAATATCATTTTCCAACAACGTGCAAAAAATTATTAGTTTTGGTCGAATAGTTTCTTAAATATTCAAAAGGTTCGCGTTTTTCTGGGACAACCCTCGTACATACATGTACACAGATATGAATCAACACATGTACATGTTACAAAAGGAGTGTACTCATTAAAACTCTTGGGTAGACGTGTTTTTACAGTGTTTGAGGAATAAATCTGCACACTTATGAAGGATAACCCGTGTTCATGAAAGATAACTCGTGTTCGCCTACCTGTACATTGTACCATCTAGCGTTAACCGTGTTTGAGACATGCATTTTATTGACTACACCATGATAAAACTGTGCAAATGAACAAAAATACGGTTCAAAATCTGAATATGGAATAAAAAGTAGCAGCTAGAGTCGTGGATAAAATTATGGTCGGTAGGGTTACCGGAAACACACATATTTTATTTAGTCTAATAAGAAGATTATTTTCTGTCCTATATATTTTAGCGAAAACAAAAGGTTTTACCGGTAGCCCAATTAATATGATAAATGTGGAAAAAAAGAGTTGTATATTTTAGGATAATACATGTAATTATACTCAATTCAATTTTCAACCAAAATCCAATCTGCTGGGTTTTATCTTTTACGAGTCTAGTGAGAATTCCAAAAGAAGTCCTTGAATGGGACGACGAAAGAAGAGAACGATTTGTTCAAGAACTGAAAGACGGGAAAGTTCGAGTTCATCGAGCCAGAATTATAATTGTTGGCTGTGCAGGAGCAGGAAAAACAACTTTGGTTGAGAGACTAAAACATCCAAATAATGATGAAATGCCTACAACTACTACAACTGTTGGTCTTGATGTACACAGAAACGTGTTCCATGTCGATGATGGGAGACTGATATCTATGGGTAAATACATGTAAACATGTACAGCAGTATATGCAGCATATTTATACATGTATATCCATGTACATGGTTCAATACAAACACAAATTATGCATACAATACATATATATCAGGATGGAGGCTACATTCGGTTGCAGAAAAAATCAAAGTACCATAAGTACTGAAACGACAACCACTTAGTAAGACATCGAAAGGGAGGACCAATTTTTTTTTTCAATTTGCTTGTTGCGTCGCCTGCAGAGCAGAGCGATACTTACTCAGCTATGTTAAGGAAGGCATTGTGAAGTCTTGTATAGTGAAAAAAATTAACTTAGACTCATAATGATGCGTAAATAACAACTTGAATACATTTATTTATCAATTTTATTTCAAAGCATGTAAAATCTAACTATTTGATAACAAAACTCTTGAGTAATGAGGAGCATATCTTGTGTCAGAAATGACGTCACTAGCCTTGACTTGGCACAGTACGAGTGATCAAGAGGAGTGGATCAATGGGTTTAATAAATACAAATGTGCTTAAATAAATATGAAAACATCGCCAATTTTTTAATCTTATAAATAAAACTAGAAGGAAATAATTTATTTAAACCAGTTATATAGATTACCGATTTATCTACATGTAGCTGTTGTGGAGCTGTACAGCGACAGAGAATATAAAGAATATCGCTAACACGGTAAGCGTATTCATAATTAACCTCAAAAGTGCAAGGGCATAGACTACACTGTTTGAGGTAAAATATCGAATATCAATTGCTTATATCATGTATATTTTAAAAAGTGCTGGGAGCTGATTCTTGTCTGCCTAACAATATTTTTATTCACAATAAAATTTAAGCGAAGTGGTGATATTTTAAATTAGGTGTTGTACGCATTTTCGACAAAATAACGAGTACTTCTGAAACGGCACAAATTAGTCCCAAGTACTCTTTAGATAGACGATCTAAACCTCTTCTAATGTGAATTAATTATTTTGTCCAAAAACATGCGTTTGCCCTTGCACTAGCGTCATTTTCAACATTCAGCTTTAGAATTCTATTTTCATGTCAGGCACGTGACAAACAGCTGACACATGAGATGTAACTGGCAATGAGTACGGCACAGACCTTTTCATTATGGATATGTATATAACCTTTCCTACACGTATTCATTTACATTATAAAAGTGTTACATATACATGTATATATTAAGGCGTACTTTAATCGCATTATCCATTTCCTTCCATAACATAGCTGAGTTGCTATCACTTTACCCGGCATTTGCGTAACGTGGTTGAGCCGGGCTATCAGACAGTTCCAATTTATAGAAATTTATTCACAAAAGAAAAAATTATATATTTACATAAACAAACTCAAACGAACCTTCTGGCATTTGTTGAGGTACCGTTGGAAGGGAGTTGTCAAATGTGGAAGCATATTGATGTCCAATATTACAAAAAAAAGTCATTGAATTTATTTGCGATTTCTTGAGGGCATGTAATTGTTTCACCGTCGACTTTTAAATGTGTTGTTGTGGTTTGGGTTCGTTTCGAGGGAAGAAACTCCTTTATGCGGTCCCACATATTCTTGGGCTAAGCGTGTGCCTGCTCAATTACCTCGTTTACAAAGTCGCGTTTCGCCTCGTTGATCTGGATCCCAACTTAGTTACGTGCCACTTTATAAGCATTCTAATCGGCATTCGATTTGGATTTGAGTGCTTTCCGATGTAGAAAGTCACGTTGTCGCATTTCTGATAATATGTTGTCATTGATCCACTTTTCTGAATCTGCTCTGATGCACCTTTCTCTCATTGGAAAGTGTTTGTCAATGATTTGAAAAAAAGTGTCTTTAAATAAAGCCCACATATCATTAACATTTTTCAGGTTTCTGATTGAGTTCCAGTTTGTAGAAGCAAGGTCGGATAAGAATGCATATTCGTCTGCATGTTTCATATCTCTATAATTGATGTATATGGGTTTTTTTTTTTTATTTTCTTTGATTGTTTTGTTTCTAATAGAGCTCGGGCTTCGCTAGAGCTGACCCCGAGCAAATACAGAGCTGACCCCGAATGTGAATGGGAAAAATAAATTAACGAAATATTGAATGAATGTATTACGTAAATTAAAAAGAAAAGTTTGATTGAAATTATCTTTTCCGTAAATCTTGTTGTTTTTTTTTTTAATACAACCTGTCTAAAAAAAATACCGTAGTGTATGATTAAAAGACTGTATATTTTTAAATCGAATCTTAGAAGAAATAATTTTTGAAAATAAATAATTACGTAATCATCTTAATATTTATTGATACCCAGAGAATTATAATTTATAGATATTAAGAACATAAATAAAAATAAATTGAATTGTACATAAACACGCATAGCTCATGCTGTACGTATGCAGTGATTTGATTTACTGCGAAATGCCAACCAGCAGTTTGATTGTTCAATGCGTAATCCTGATTGACAACTCTGTTACGTAATAGCGAATGCCGGGTTCGCTTTCTGGGTGCGCTACTGAAATCGGAGTTTGCTTTTAGCGTTCGCTCTGGCTTCGCCGGGGATGCGCTCTGTATTCGCTCGGGGTCAGCTACAGCGGACCCCGAGCGAACCCGTGGTTCGGTTGGGGTTCGCTTTCTGTTAAGTTGTGTCTGGTCGGTACTGTACCACAGGTGCGCAATAAGGTGAATATGATGCTTATTTGACATTAAGCTGAAGCATGTTCTCTTTTTCTTCTTTAATTACGATTCTCTGTAACCACTTAAAACTTCTTTGCCACGCATGGACACCGATTTTGATGAAACTTTGCCCATTTTTACAACTTGACACCAGAAACATATATCAAATAAAATTTCGTTGCTATGTGTCTTAGTTGCCATGGTAACAGCCAGAAAAGTTGGAAAAATTTAGATTTTCAGCTACTTTGAATCTTTATGAAGCCTTAATAAAGACTAAGAAAAACAAACAAACCATTCTCTCAAAAACATGACACCTTGTTGCCACTTATGCTATAAAGAAACTATTTAGAAATTATCGCTAAGTAATTGGTAACCATGGGTACATTTGAAATACATTTTAGATGCTGAAAAGTGCTGCAAAATGCTCAATATTCACTAATAATAGGTGTTACATGATCAAGCTCAATCAACAACCTAAGAAAAACAATAAAAATATTTGACCTTAAGTAATTAGGTATTGGCAATATTATTCTAAAAATAACTTTCATAGTTGCCATGGTAACAGTTCAACCATGCAAAATCTGTTGCTAATACTGGGTTAATGCTACTATCTTAAGGAAAAACAATAGAATTCATGAATGGCACATACATCCTTAGGACCTTGCAACACCCACAACATAAGAAAAATTGGGATTAATTGTTACTATGCAGTGTAACCATGGAAACAACGTACCAGGGGACCGTTTTACAAAAGAACTTACGACTAAGACCAAAATTTAATTCTGCTAGTAACTTTTCAATTTATATTAAATTGAAAATTATTTTAATCTTTTTAAAAAGGTATGTAGAAAGACACTTTAATGCTAGCAATTTTAAACAGAATCATTAATTCTGCAAAATTTTACAATCAACTGAAGTTTCTGGTCTTAGTCGTAAGTTCTTTTGTAAAATGGGCCCCTGTTGTTTGAAGTGATATTTTTTGCTGCCTTGGAAATTTACTTAACTTTTAATCAAGGAACGTATTATTTGACTCACCTTGAATAGTACTTATCTGGTAGAACTAAAGTTGAATATCATATATTGATAAAGTTTGTTGAAAAATACAACACTTGCTATGGTAACCAAGGAGTAAAAATGTTCGATTTTGTTAAATTTATATCAATATTTAACCCTATATGCCAGTTTTTATGCATCCAGTTAGAGATTGGGTGGTAGTCAAATTTGAAGGTCAGGTTAGTTGTTCATAAATATCAGTCATAAAAGTTTTGGAAATCTACATACAATGGTACCAATGGTATCCAAGAAAACAGAATATTTTTCAGATTTTTATATATATTTTTTCGGCTTATTTCCATAGCAACGCTCTATTTAAAGAATTGAATTGAATTTTTTGAAATGTGAAAATTAGGGTCACACCAAGGCCTTTAAGAATTGATCATCAGTTATATAGATATATGCTTTTTAAAAAGATAGGATAAGATTTAAACACTAAGAGAGTAAATTTAAAATCCCTTCGTGGTATTAAAACCATGCAACCATTGCCAACCTATCAGAAGTATCATATTTTGTCCTTGGTATATATGTTACAAGGATCTTTTGTCTATTATCTGCTTGCATTTCAGCATGTAATTGTTTTATTCTTAAGTGCATGACTTTTTAAAATTAAATGAACAAAATTATTACTTTTGAATACTTTGTTTCCATTGTAACATATGTAATACATGTAGTAGATTTACCAAACATTTTTATCATCCATTTAAGACAATAGGACATCAACTGCCATTTTTCAAACTTTAGGACATGTTGCTATGGTAACCATAAGCAACCAATTTGTGCCTGATTTGAGTTTACGATATCAAAGACTTTTATCATAGAGAGTTTGGAGAAATTCTGAGACTATGCGTGCCACAGCTCTTATAAAATAGTTCAAGCCATTACAGAGAATGGCTCTTTAAAATTGTCTTCTCTGTATGGAATGGAAGAGAATATTGCTTCACCCGAACATGTTCTTTTGTTGTTTTGATGTTAACTCAATTTTGTGTTCTACCATATTTGAAGTGCCAGGTATATCAATTAAAACATCCTGGAATGACTCACAGAAATTCTGTACTGTCAACTGTTGATCTTGCTTAATCTTGTCTGAGATGTTAATGCCCTAGTGAAGTTTGTTTGTACTGAAGGAGGTAATGAAATTGACATTTCTTTGTTATTCGTGTTCTCCTTATCCAACTCAATGAATGAAACAGAGCAAACTGATAAAACTCCGCGGTCTTCGTTATTTCTGTCAACGTACTCTTTTAACAAGTTTACGTGTAGAGTTTTAATCTTTCCTTCAATGTCAACATTGTAGTCCATATCTCCCAACTGCTTTACAATCTTATAGAGTTCCTTCCACTGCATCAGAAGTTTATTTGTCTTGGTTGGTAAAAGTATCAATACTTTGTCTCAAGTTTCATCTGTCTAGCTCTTGTTCTCTTGTAGTATTTGCGCTGTTATTTCAGGGTTTTTTTTGCACATGTAACTGTTTATGAGCTATCTTACAGGTATTTTTCAATCTTTCTCTATAGTCAATCACATATTCGTAGGTTGATTTCACATCTTTATCTGAAATATCTTCAGTCTACAATTCTTTAAGTTTTCCATTGGTCTCCGTACTTTGTGTCTGTATATAAGAGTTCAAAAGGTTAAAAATAAAAAATGTCTTTTGGTACATCTCTGTATGCGTATTACAAAGCATTTAAATATTTATCTCAGTCTTTGGGTCTTTCCGTACACATTTTCTCTAGCATTTGCTTAAGAGTGCCATTGAATTTCTCCACAAGCCCATTGCACATTGGATGGTAAGGAGTTGTTGTTATTCTTTTCAAAGATAGTAAACGATTGACTTCTTTCATTATGTCCGATGTAAATTGTGATCCTTGACTGATTAACATATCTCTTGGTACAACACGACTTAACACATCAATTCAACTAATGCCTCTGCAACACGTTCTGTCGACACGTTTCAGATAATGTCGCTGCTTCAGTATAGCAAGTTGCGTAGTCAATTATAGTCAAGATGTATTTCTTGCCTTTGGTGGTTCTGGGCATTGTCATTTTACTAATTGTCAAAGATTCAGCAACATGTGGTAAGTCCATCTGTTTGTGTATGACCGATGATCCTTGACCTTGTCGAGTCTTTTCATATCACTGATTTCCTTGATTTTATCAATATGCCTAATGCTAGATTGCTGTTTTGCTAGATTTGGACTAGGATATCTGTTTCTTGTATTGCTAGAATTTACAGTATCACGATTATCATCATTAAATTTGACTGATCGGTTTTGAAGTTTTTTTTTTGTTTTTTTTGTTTTTTTTTTGAATTACAGTCAATGGCCTTGTGTCCAACTTTCCACACCCAAAACATCCTCTCTGCGAAGTCGATGTAGACTATAGTTTATCTTTGGATTGAAATTGTTGCTCACTTTGTTGTCTCTTACTCTATAGTCTTCTGTCAAATCCAAATGGCTTTTGCGTTAGGAAAAAAGATTTACTTTCCCTGGCTTCCGCAAATTTATCAGCATACTGCGCTATTTCACGGATTGTTGACGGAATTTTTTCCTTTGAAAAGTGTTAGTTTTTGAGAACAACACAATTAGAATTGTTTACGAAGAAAGAAATCCCTAAGTTCTTCATAAGATTTTTCAGTTAAATCCAGCGTTCTAAATAATTGTTAAGTATTGAGGAAAACTGTGAAAATGTCTCACTATCATCAGGATTTGCTGTTCTGAACTTTTTTCGGAAACATTCTCTGTCATTTCGAAACGTTTCTAAGGAGCTTTTCTAAGTTCCTCAAAATTAAGTGCACTGTTTGGTATAAGTTTTGTAAAATCATCTATTGCCTTTCCAGGAGAGCACTAAGATGAGATCTCCAGTTATTGATATTCCAACATTGAGCTGTAGCACATCTTGCAAATCGCTGAATATAATCAGCTATATTGTCTTTGGATTCGTCAAATGCTGGAAGTTTGGGACCTTTAACGGGCTGATGGGTTTGCGTCAGATGAGTAGAATCAAGTGTTGATTTTAGAGATCTCTCTGAAGGAAGGGTCTGGAATTGATGATCAATTTCAAGTTCTTGGATTTTCCGTTTATGTTCAGGCACTGCAAAATTTTTCTTTTTCTCCTCCATATCAAGCTGATGCTGACGTTCTACACATGTTCGTTCACTGTGTTCTTTTTCCAGTTGAAGCCGAAATTCTCTTTCTTCAATTGCTTGTTTTTTCAGTCCTTTCCTCTTCACCTTCATCACGCATCCTGGATTGTTCCTCCCGTACTAATTGGTTTAGCTCATTATCCTTCAGTCTCAACTTAGTACGAAGTTCCAAAAGTTTCTCCATTTCAGCGAGAATAGACATGGTGATAAATACTAAAGAGAACCAGCATACCTTGAAAAAATTAGCATCCAGTGTCTAACAACCAACACATTTACTTTTATCTGAAATACTCACCTCTAAACAACAAGTGGGTAAACCATACTCTTACTTACCTCTAGGTATAATATAAGCAATATCTTCTGGGGCTAACAACTTACTGAGTCTAACATTCTAACTAAATCTTGAAAAATTTCATACAATTAAGCTTGGAAAACCTTCACAATTGGAACAGTCTTAACTGATCTGGAGAAAGACAGTTGTCAACCACTGCTGCCACCAAATGTAACATGGTTGAGCCGGCCTATCTCCAAATAACACTTAAGCCAGTTCCATTTCATAGAAATTTATTTACAAAAGAAAGAATTATGTATTTACATAAGCACACTCACATTTGCACACACTTGCACGCCGTTTTCATTCTCATTTTTATAAGAAAAAAATCAATCTACCCTAATAATTTGACAGACAGGGAGAGTATTCCTTATCAACTAAATGTTATTTTATACTTATGTTATCTTATAGTAATTTACAGTGTTGCCAGTAAATTAATGTTCAATTGTATAGTTCTTTACATCCAGGTTTGCCACAATCAACACTGATCAACATGAGCTCTAACTTCTGTCGGATTTACTTATCTGCATGAAATCATGTCAATAAGTTTTAGCACAGGTCCATCGATCAATCATCCTATCACCTCTGGGGCTGTAGTCCATGAACTTGCGGAAAAAAGATGATCGCCTTTGCTCTTGATCCCGTTGGAATTCTGCTCAACTCACCTAACCTTTCTCCAAAGTCATAACGCTACAATTTACAGGACTTATAAATTTTCCACTTAGGGAACACACTAAAATGGCAACACTTAATGATATTATATTTGGTTAAGGTAGTCTGATCCTCAGGTTCTGAAAATCAGCTTTTAAGTAATTGAAAATGCTCAAAAAATGTCTCTGATTTCACAAAGTAACGTGAATTTACCCTTGGTATTTCTTAAAAGTTCATCATTAAAGTTAATCATATTATATAAAATATTTCTCAAATATATATCAAATAAATTTTCAGGAAATGCAATAAAAATACCAGCTATTCATTTTCTAATTGAAAATTGATCAACAAATATATTTTAGGATAAAAAAAAAATATAGGTATCCAGGCATTTAGAGAAAATTGTATCTTTTTATGCTTATACAGTATTTTAGTGCTTCTATTTACTTCAGTTGTTATATAATTCATAGTGTTAGATGCTTGTGTTATCATTGCTAGACATCACAGAACAAGTCTAATTTCATATCATGCTAATAAGCATTGGTATCTAATGCTGATTAAAGGAAATTCGATTTCTCTAAAAATTAATTATTTTTTTTTCTTTCATGGGGTACAAATGTCAACTTTTTAAAAGACAATCTCTAAGACATCAGAGAACCTTGAATCATATTGAGATGCATAAAATGAAAATTGTTGTCCGAAAAGATCTCAATTTTATGCCTCATTTTGAGGCTTTTTGAATAAAATAATAAGTCCTTCCTGGCTGACGATCGGATATCTTTAAAGTATAAATAATATATGTCCGTCTAAATAATTAGGCAAAACAGTTTAGATATGAAGCATCCATTGAACTTTCAAAACAATATGGCTGCCACTTCCGGCTATTCACTTCCGCCCAATACATTTCAATAATTTACGGAAAATATCGAACAAAAAAAAAATACACAAAAAGAATCCTTCAAAAGTGACATAAATTAAAGTCATTCAATATTCTGTCGACAATAAAAGAACTAGGTATTTAAACTAACGCCACCGATATTCTTGACTGCTCACACAGGTGCGTTAGACCAAGATTATATTTAGGACAATTGATAAATAAGAATACTTACAACCTAGAGCAAAGCTCGTTGTATTGCAACGAGTAAGTCTTCCGTTGGAGCTGTGGAAAGGAAATACCGACCTTGGGTAAAGGTCATTATACTTTCTTAGGTGAATGAAGTATTAACTTCAAATGTTTCACCTGCAGAAAGGCAGTGGACAGATTAATAGTTAAGATCATAACAGTTTCCAGTTATGGTCAATCCCCATCTGTGGGATTCCGACTGGACAAGACCATCTTTTTTCTTTCAGACCATTTACCAAGTCAAATATCTTATTTTTACATAGATGTAATTAATTAGCTAGGTTCTCTTCAATTTTTTAAAGAACTAAAAATTTTTATGTCCAGTTTGGATATTGAAAAAAATGTTGGCTAACTTGGGTTTCTATGCTGGCCTTAAAACTTTGAGTTCAAAGGACCGTGAAGCTAGCCTGATACACAAGCTACTGTCACAGTCTGTCTGTCTGTTTGTCTAGCTGTCTGTTCCATCTGTCACACCTTTTATCTTGAGAACTGTAAAACGTATGGATTTGATATCAATGCCCTCCTTCGAAGAAGGGAAGGCATATTGCTTTGCTGCTGTCTGTCGGTCGGTCTGTCGGTCCTAACAGTTTCCGTTCAATTTCTTTGCAGAGGTTGCACATACTGAAATGAAATTCGGTATACTGATTTATCATAAGAATATCTAGGTCAAGTTTTGTATGTAATTTTCTCTATAGACCCTGACGAATGCTGATTCACACCGGAAACAGATATAACGCACGGCGGAAATAGTTACAACACAAGACGGAAACACAAGATTTCCAAATCAATCATAATTATGCATTTTAGTAATAAGCCCTTAAACCTAGAAATGATTGAACAATATAGAAGCTACTTCATCGTATTTTTTTTTTCACAGAAAACACAACTTCAATTACTGTTTCCAGCAGAGAAGAAAAAATGATAACGCTTATGGATTTTGCCGGACAAAGTGCATATTACGCATGTCATCAAGTTTTCTTGACCAAGAGGGCTATTTACGTATTAGTCTCAGACATGTCAAAATGTATGGACGATAAGGTCAGCCAATTAGAATGTGACACCAAGGGAACCGTATTTGCTGATTGGAAACATGGAGGTGAGGACCATTTATATAGACTTGGTATTAATCAATACAATAACATGATAAGTACAATGATGTATATTGAACAGGTTGGAGAGAATACTAAAAACGGGTATTATCCGTGAATTCGCGTATATAGTTCAATCTGCAAAATCAGGTATCCCGTGCTTTCTGTAACAGAAAAATAAAGCTACGGTGCATGATGTTAGTAAGAGACACATATAATTCAGTGTCTTAGGTTTTTTAATTGATTCCAATTTGCAGGGTTGTCTGAAGAGTTCAAAATGACACGACTTACAAAGTTGGAATAAAAAGGAAGACACGAAAGCGTAAATAATTTTTCAATGGCAATACCAAAAACAAATCACTGCATGATATTTGAGTTTATTCCCGCTAGTATATTTCCCAAGCTTAATTTATAAATTTGAGCTTCATTTAATAAATGTTAAACTTTGAAGAAAATGAACAACACGCCGTATGTTATGCATTTGATACTTCAACATTGATGATGTTCTTTTCACTCTAAATATCAGCAAGCATGCTATCGAAAGTTTTATGAGAATAGTCCCAAGATATGACTTGAGAGACGTCATTAAAAAAAACTTAGGATGGTCCTACGACAGTTCTTAAGATAGATATAGAAGCTCTCTTGGGAATGTCCTTATAGGATAGACTTCGGAGATTCTTAAGATGATTCTTAATTATTGTAAAATTACAACACTATGTTTATATAATAGAGAAACATGAAAAGGGGGACATAGTTAATTAAATAACTTAAACATGATCATTCATATTCCAAATGTTCTAAATGTAAATGATAAATCAAATAATGAGACCTCTTTATCTCTCTCAATACATGTAATAAAGAAAATTCGAAAACATAATACTAGTATTGGGAAAACAGGCACGTAATATCGTTTTTGGAAAGGGGTATAGATTCCAACTTTTTTCACAACCAAACTTTATGAATACATTACTAATTATCACACTATCATGATTTAACTTTACGCAACAAAAGTGGGGGGGGGGGGGGTTCGACCAGCCTTTCAATGAACATTTTTAACATTAAAAAGTTATGTGTGGATACTATGTGCCTGGAAAAAGTTAAGTTTGGACAAATTTTACATTTCAATGTACTTGCATAGCAAATTAGATAAATAACTTTCATATGATTACGACACTAGCAAATAAACTAATATTTTTAAGTAAACCTTAGAGAGTAATGAAGTGGACAGTACTTATTTTCCTTTGTTAATAAGCCCTTGAACGGATGACAGCTTCACGCTATGAACAATATCCCGCAGGGAAAAAAACTGCTGATTAGCGCTCTTATCCTCATTTCCTCGTGCTACTGAATAATGATCAACTTAGATTTAAACTTTTACATCTATAGAACTTCTCCGAAATGTTACCTAATTTAAAATACTATTTTGCAACCCAAGAGTTATTGATCCATTACACAAGCGGGGAGTGCAGTCGACCGAAAGCTATTGACTTGCGAAGATAATATTAACTAGTAGATACTCGTTGCGATCAACGAGTGGTCTTCGTCAGAATAACCATCCTTATATGTGATATTCTTTGCAGGTAAAAGAACAAGGTACGGTTTCAATACAAATCTTGCCCTGCATTTTTTCTTAAATATGAAAGTGATGCAAAAAAAAATTAAAATCATGCTTTCTGAATCATTGAAAGGCCATGGGGAAAGATCAAACAAATATTTTTTTCTCACATGACTTTCTAAATGCTAATTGACGTCATGAACTTGCGCATTTCCCGTATTTACTTAAAAAGTTGCAGAAAACTTCAATTTTCAATAAAATTTTCTTTCAGATAATATAGACCACATGCATCGCCCACAAGGTTTTTGAGATATGCAATTTTTCAAAGAATTTGACACAACATATCTGAAAATTAACGAGGGCGACGGCTGTGGACACTATTTTCTTACGAAAAATAACCCCTGAAATGGGTCATTTTAATGTTATTTCTGCTTTTAACAGAGAAATGCATCAAATTAATGACGTCATATTTCCAGAATGGTCCTCCTTCATGCCATATTCTCTCTTGAATTATCACAGTCATATACTCAACTCATATTTAAGCCAGTTTCGAAACTTTTTTGAAAACATTAGATTTTTAGGGTATGTGTTCTCATAGTAAAGACAACTACAATTGCAATATGGGTCTTTAAAAAATACAAGGATTTTAAAGATTTTTTTTTTTATTTATAAAGGAAAATAAAAAATTACTTTTTTGATAGTGCAGAATTATAGGATAAAAGCTAGCCAGCCAAATTTTGTGCAAGCAGATTCACATCGGATTTTGTTTACAACCACGTGATGATTCAGGTCCTCCTAATCAAGATGTTCGTTTTGGAGATTTTGGAAATCTCAATTTCATCAAATTATGAGGACAGCGACATGCGAGTACAATAGATGAAATCGTCTCTGGTTTTCGGTGCATGGGACTTAAAAGGCCTTGCCATCTGTTGGCGAGTATTCCAAATGCATTTTCTACAACGGACCTTTCTCTGCTGAATCTAAAGTTAAATACATGTATACGCTCTTCATTGGTCAAATTCCTTTTTGAGAAAGGTTTCATAAGCCATGTCCTGAGAGGGAAGGCGTCAATATCAACAATGAAATAGGGGATGTTTCGGTTATCGTACGTTAGAGGGGCAGCTTATCTAAATCCAATATTTTGATTTTCAATGACATCTTTTAATTCCGAGTTGTTAAATACAATAGCATCCGAAGCAGAACCGTTTGCACCTACGTCAACCCAAATAAATTTATAATTAGTATCAACAAACCCAATAAGAATGAGATAGTAGAACTCTTTGAGGTTGTAATAAAGTGAACCTCCGTTTCGGGGGAATTTATTGCAATATGCTTCCCATCCAGAGCACCAAGAACATGATCCAGGTTCCATCTAACTCTTAACTGCTCAGCTATTTGTTGCTATTCATATGTAGTTGTGTGACATGTAATTACTTCATCAGCATATTCTGTTATTATATTTTTACAAACTTCATGAACCTCCAAGGAAATCGTTTTATGTGGAACTCGAAATCCATATATCAGACTTGTGCATGACTTTCCTGTTGCTAAATACTGAAGTGTAATGACCAACTTAATCCGGGTTCCAAAGCCTTTCTGAACCACGTGTCTTGTTTTTGTAATCTGGGATTCAATCTGTCTACAAGCTCTCTAAACATATCTGGCTCCACTCTGAGGAATTTTTGAGTGATAAAACTGATAATACATACGTCTTCAGTTTCAATTTCTCTCATCAAGCGATCAAAATATCCATACTGACTACGTCTGGTGATCCATGGTCTTATCCAGTATCTTCTTTGTCTATGTGGACGCTCGTTGTTTAATAAATTGGCAATCGCCTCGTCATTTTGTGCAATATTCTGATCGAGCTCCCCCCAAATATTGCAGTACTTAAAACCTCCGCAATGTAGCTATTGCCATAATCATCTAACTTCGAATTGATGCTTAGAAATTTCAAGCAACCCTATGCAGAGAGATTGGAGCAAACCTGACAGATTTGAACAGCGTTGTTGGATGCAATCAAGCAGACACAGCAGCAAAGGTCCAGGGACTTGAAGACTTGAAGATACTTGAAGCACTACTACAATTCAGCCGTAGGGGCGGTTCCCTGGCAAAATAATGATATAATGACCATGATATAAAGATTTTTTGATGTGTGTTTCGATGACACTGCTGCTGACGGCCGATTTATTGTAAATATATTGTAAATGAAACAAATGGATCAGGATATTGTTTAATTGTATTGTGTATAAGTAAACATGAAGCAATCAATAATGTTAATACTCATTGAATCACATTTCTATCAGTAACTTTAGTGATTACAGTACATTGTACTTTGTATTGAAAAGAACAATAAAAATAATGTGAAACACCGACTATGATTTATTCTTATCCATTCCCTGAATAAGGAGTAATTAGCAGATATTACAAAAAGTATTTTTCTTAATTAATCCGTAAACGCAAAAAAGCAATGTTCACAATTCTGACTTTCTATATTATTGATTTTCGGCACGCTGGATAGATTCATCACAAGGCACTTCTGACTGACTTGTCCCCATATGATCATCAGGAATCTCTCTCTCTCTCTCTCCCCTATACCCCTCTCAACGAGAGAGAGAGAGAGAGAGAGAGAGCATCTATATAGATAATATGCATTTCACAAGAGTTTAAATAAACCATTTTCATAACTATTTAACCTGCTGCATGCTTACTACATCAATTAATGAATGGATTTTCATTAATTACTTTCTCTTTTTCCCTTCAATCAGGTACATGCTTACATATATATACTTACATGCTTACAAATATACCACATATATATTACACAAAAATATTACATATAATGTAATGTCTAGTAAATTCATTTTATTAAAAAAATAATATTTTACACAAAAATTTGAATTAAATTACATAAACAATGTGGATTCAATTATTTCTAGATGTTTTCCTGTCACAAGCGCTTCTTAAATCAACATAGTTATGTCTTAGGGTAAGCTAGTCGGCGTCTTAAAGTTAGGACAAAGATTAGGAAATCTAAGATAGAATAGCTTTGTTGGCATCACTTAAGACTAAGCTATGTTGTAAGTTCATCCTAAAAGACGCCTTAGTCCTGAGATAGCTTTATAAGCATGCCTGCTGGTAGTAGGCGAAATACTGGTGTTGTAGAGTAGGACTTCCCCCATTGCGAGCTTTCTCCCGAAATCTGTACTCTAGAGTAGCCCCCCCCCCTCCTCCGAAGGTAAATCTCACTCTAGAGCCAAATTTCCCCCTCTTTTTTCCCAGAATAGGATTTCCCATCTTTTATCAAATCAATGCTTAAATCAAATCAGCAAGTTTTAATGAAAGTCAACTGATTATTTTAATGGAAATATGAATGTTTTCGACACAGGAATTGTCAAATTAAGTATGAAATCTTAAAATGTATAGTTCAAATCAAGGAAAGATTTTACAGTC